TATATATATATATATATATATATATATATATATATATATATATATATATATATATATATATATATATATATATATATATATATATATATATATATATATATATATATATATATATATATATATATATATATATATATATATATTTGAACTAGAGTTGCAGGTGAAATATTTGCTGTGAGCATTGCCCAAGGAGGACCAGCCCCACGGTTTATGCAAGAATGGTGTTATGAATACCTTGCAACTGGTAACATCAGACGGGATGGAGTACATGACACAGAGATATCACCACTAATTAAAATGGTAGGTCTTGTCGACAGAATTTCATTTGATACGTTTGCTGGAAAAATTAATCATCTTATCAATTATTGTATATTTTTGCTAAAATTGAACCATGCTTATTAATTAATATTGAATACAGGTAAAATGTTGCTTCAAATTGATTTAGATTGAAGACGCATCTGACCTGACCACTTACACAAAAGAAATCTTGGACTGTGGCTACACTGGACCAGTCAACACTGAGCATAAGGAAAGCATATTAAGGTATGTTATGACACTGAAATCAAGTGATCAGCATAGATCAGTAAAAGGATGTTTTAAATTCTGGGATTTGGAAAACAGGTTCATTGAAGAACTTAAATGTAGTCTTTAGCCCATCCAAATTCTTGTAAGGAAGAAAAAAATGTATTCGGTCTCTGTTGTTGTCTATACTGGTAGATTCATAGTTTGTAGTTACATAACAATTTAATTACATTGATATTCTCCCAGGAAATTTTTATGTTTTTCTAGACAGAAAATAATAATTTCAAGTTAGAAATGTGTTACTGTACCATACGAATAAAGTTTGGTGGTCTTTATAAAAGTCGAAAACAAAGGATTGAAAAACTGAAAACACTGAAAAACTAAAAACTTTTTTGTATAACTGTATATGTGTTTAAAATTGGTGTCAGACCAGATAATAGATAATAATTTTACAAAATAATAAAATAAAATACAGTTGGGGAGAGTGGGTATAAATGCAAAACGGGAGACACAAAGAAATCCCATATTCATAATCAAACACTATTTCATTATTGTATAATATTGAAAATTATTACTGCATACATATATACATATGTATATATCTGGGGTAGAAAGGTGTAAAGAGGTAAAACAGATTATTTGCATTATGGACAGAGAACAACCTTGTCTTCTGTCCTAATGATACTTTATACATTTTTAAATGGAATCTGTGAAAAAGTATATGATTGTTTTACAGGGATAACACACTTCTATGGCTATAAATTTGACCTCTATCACATGTAATTAGCATTTGTAATGATACATATGATTTTTTCGACTCCATCTCATAACTCTACAATTCATTTTCTTTTAAGCTTAGTTCCTTTAATAATCTGGGTTTGCCACAGCGGAATCAACCGCCAACTTATCCAGCATATGTTATATGTCAAAACAACACCGTTCCCTCAGCTTAACACATACAGTGTAAATAATGGACTGAACACGGAGACTGTAAAGCTTAATAAAACTCTATGCATGAAGGAAGTGCATCAAAAAGCTGGTGCTAATACAAGCATCAAAGTTGTGTCTAATACATACAAAAATATTAATACGTTTTCTATTTTTTTTTTTTTTTATGTTTGTATGATGCGCTTTGGTCCACTCTCTCACGCTTTTGCAGTGCTGCCTGATGAAAGGGTTTACATCCAGACTAATGCAACGATTAAAGCACAAGTTGATCAACTTGATCTAGCAACATCTATAAAGGATGTAAAAATCTGCAATGTGAAAAACTATGTTGATCTTAGTTTGGTTTTAACATGAAGAGGTGAGCAGCTGTAGTAGTAAAAAGTGAAAGTAGGTAGCAGCCAGCATAATACAGATTGAACCAAAGCACATCAAATGATCGGTAACTAAAAAGGAAACATGTAATAAATATTTTTTTATATTAGATAGACATCTGATGCTTGATGCTGATCTGTTGAATGCGTTTTAATTTAGGCTGTTCAGTCTCTGTATTCAGTCCATTAGTTCCACTGTATCTGTTTAGCTTAGGGAACAACACCAACACTGTGACTTCAGACAGTGATATTCCAAGATGGCAGCACCCTAGCTTTAAAAACTATAGTAAAACATGCTTATTGTAATGGTTACATAAATCGTATTTGTTTAATATATTTTCACTGAAGTGGAAATCAATTTACAAAATAATATAAACTAGACTGGGCACTTCATTTCCACTTCTGTGTATTAAATAAGTATTAAATATTAATGTTTCAGATCAACTCAGAGGAAAATATTACTAATTACCGATTACTAAAAACTAGATCTCACACACACATAAATATCTCAGCTTCAACTATTGACTTGACTACTGTTAAAACAAAACTGCAGAGCTGCAACCCTTCAGGAACTGAGTTTGGCAGCTGTGGTCTAGTTGATAGATGATTGACATGGAGAGGTCAATCCCATACTTGATTCTAATATAAAGATTTAAAATGAATTATAAATAGTTCTAATTATTGATAATTTAATTTTGATACATGTGATACATATTACATAGATAATATAGCAGAATTGGTTACATTGAAATTAGCATGAGTTGTAAAGTAAATGTACTCTAGATACAAAAATCTACATTTTATCGATGTTAAAAGATCCTGTTATGTTGCCACAATAATTTGTGCTTAGTTCTGCCTTGATGTTGGGTTGCAGTTTACGGTCTTTTTCTTTAGCACTTTGTTTGCTTGTTGAGAGAGGATATTGTGTTTGCAATATGTAAGAAATAATTATCTGTCTTATGTGAGGTTGATACATTACATAATATTTTTTGTCTTTCAGAGCACTTGCTCTACATATCACCACAAAACGCATTCCAATGCTGCAACAACTCCGTGAAGGCCTTCAGATTTATGATCTAATCAAAATCATCCAAGCCAAACCACATGAGTGTCATGACCTGTTTGTTATAGGTCATGATGACAAAGTATGTACAAATAATGTGATGTTCATTCATTCACTTAGCTTTTTTTTTTTGTATGGCTTAAATGACAGATATTAAAATCTATTTTTGACTTTGTTTAGGTTGATGCCCATTACATTTCATCCCACCTAGCCCCAGAGATGAGCCCCACTGGTTCACTTAAACAAGTAAATGAGTCCAAAATCTTGGAATTCTTCCAAGATTTCTTACTTGAACTTGAAGGTATGGACAACCATTAAATTTTATTTGCTTATATTGAAGTCCAGAGGCCTGTCCTTCTTGCCTTGTTCAGTACATCTTATTCAGTACATCATATTGTTTATGAACATAACTGTTCTCTGATAATTACATAGATATGTGGCTTAGGTAAGTGCTTATTTTAAAAAGATGCACAAGTCAAGAAACCGGCCATAGAATGGAAAGGTCTTATTAATTGGAAGGGTTGTGAACACTAATGATCTCTGCTCTTAAATAAGAATTTGCAAATTATTCATACTTTAGTTGTCAATAAATATTTAAACAAACTAGGTTATCAAGAAGATTTAATCACTAAACTCTTATTTAGAAGATCTAAATAACATCTAGAAAATATGTAGATTTTTTATAAATAAACAAAAAATAAATAAAAAAAGCTTTTTAATAAATAAACAACAATTTTTACATTTGTTAAATGATTCTTCACATATTCTTATTATTTGTACAGGCTTTACACTATTTATTGTCAAGAAACCTGTATGTAGAAATTACCCTGCTATGCAAAAACACCTGTCAATTGCATATTGCAAAACAAATTTTTGTTTTATAGAGCCAAATTCATTAGTAAATTCTTGTAAGAAAACAGTCATGGCCAAAAGAGACTTTAAGTATCACATTTACTTAAAATATTAGTTTAATTCTGTATTGTTGAAAAACTTTTGGGCAGAGTAAATCCAATTCTATGAGGATGAGCTTCAAGAACCTAACAATCCTTGATCATGTTAAATAGTCATATGTACAGTCCAGCCAAGTAATCCATGTTGTAAGAACAGGCCCTGGTACACAAGTTCACATTTTAAAAGTGTAAAAAAAAAAAAGTTCATTCTAAATATATGTCTTTATTTGTTTTGAAGACACACAACCAGAAGATGATGTTGCAGGGGAATCTGATGGCATGTCTGTATCTCAGATTATGCAGTGGATCACTGGCCAATCTCACAGGCATCTACTTGTGTCCGAAAGGCAGAAATTTAAAGTTTCAATTAAGTTTGATCATTGTTGTCTGCAACATACTCCTAACCACAGTGTGTGCTACCCAATTGTCAGTGCTTGCACAAATACCATAACATTTCCTGTAGCCCACATGGCCGATTATGAATCTTTTAAAACACTCTTGCAAACTGCTGTTAAATATGGGTCAGCCTTTGACAGAGTGTAAATAGTACTGACTTGAGTATCAGTACTAATGAAAAAAAAAAAGACCTGCATTTTAAACACCGCTGATTGACCATTATGTTCACATGCCCACAACATATAACTATGATTGGCTACAATGATCATCACTTCATAAAACATTTGGACTGATACACGGACACTAGAACATTTGAAAGCCACATATCAGTTAATCTTTTAGCAGATTCTTCTCAGATAAATTCTGACAGACATGGATTTCAAACGCTCCAGTCTCCGTGTGTTGGTGCAAATGCTTGGTAAAAAGTGTGAAGCAATGATCATTATACATGAGCATATGAACATGATGGTCAATCAGCAGTGTTCAAGAATCCACTTAACAGCACTTAAGATGCATTATCATATTTTGTACATTTGTATTACTGATACCAAGGTTACTTTTGACAACGGTAGTCTACTGTAGAAAATCAGTTCATGGATTCCTGGTTAACATTATCTTTTCTGCACTTGGGACGTTAAGTTTTTATTTGATGCATGTTTAAATGCATTTAAGCCTAAATGTTTTTGAGTAAACATTTGTTTCCACACATTGACACACCTTTTGTGGGGGTAAAAAGTTCTAATGGAAAACAACTTCCTGTTAGCATACTGAGATACTTGTAATTGATAACTACGTCTTAAGTCTACGTCACAATGTAAAATTCATCAGTTTCAATAATTTCCCTAATAAATTACACTTAAAACAAACCTAAAAACAAGACTTTTTTATGTTTTTTTTTCATGCAGCAAACATTGACAGTTTTTACTACATAAATATTACTATAAACTATCAACAGGTCTATAAAAACAGCATATACAGAACATAACAAAGACAAGCACTTGTAGCTATTTCAATGTCCAAAAATGTTTATGTCATTAAATTTAATGCAAATTCGCGTGTTTGCAAATATATGTCATAACCAAAGGATAAGGACTCAGTGGTGGGGTTCACTTGATTCTGTAGACTAGCAAGCCCAGCCGGTGACAAGGGACAATGTACTTCTGGGACAATGACTCCACTGTTAGAGTGAGCTGTGTGTTGATTGTTGAACAGCATCTCCTCAGCTTGCAAAATCTGGCATTGGAAGAGAGGATAGCGGGTGGGGAAGGCCATTAAGATATTAATTATAAGAACAATCAGCATACAAAGTATGACAGTATGGTTTTTGATTACAGAGTTCCCACTCTAAGCTAAACAAAATCAAATTCAAAATATTTTTCATGACCTAGTATGATTGGTAATACCAGGCTGCTGTTGTGTTTTGCATAACATTAAAATAGTTTTGGATGGAACATAACTTTGCAATGATTTAATTGCCACTATGAGACCAATGTTAGAAAATGCAATTTACTTATTTTTTTACTGTTTGCATGGCTGTAAAGTGCTCTCTCTCTTACTTGTAAACCTCAATAATAGATTACAGACTTTACTTTTAGCTTTTAGGTCATCTTTTTAAAATCCAGACTTTGGAGTAGACATTTGGAAGACAAAGCTACTAAGTTATATTTTCCTGGCTTGTTTGCCCTAGTTAGCAGGTAGTCTGGTGATTGCATTTGACTTCAGAGACTGGTTGTTGATGGGCTTGAAAACATTCAATATCTAATAGGAACAGATATTCCATTACATGACTTTTCCAAAATTCCATGACCCATGGAAACTCTGTTTTGCACTTTCATACATTAAACCTTCAATTCATATAAACTCCAAAGGTTTTTTACTGATGGATATGTTTATACATAATTTATCTGATTGTATACATTTTTTTAACAAAAATTGTGAAAATTTATTTTTGTACATTTTTAAAGATAATGATGAAAATGTATAATGTATGCACTTAGCATACTTAATTAGGTAATGACTCATTTGAAGCTAAGTAAAACTGGAGAAATAAGATGATATCTATTAATTGTTGTTGTAGTTCAAGTGTATTGCCTTAAGAGGCATATACTATACCTCTGAAAAATCAGGCTCTGAGACAGGTGCTTGCAACATCCCGATATTCCAGAGCTCATTGGGTGTCAAGTTTCCCTCTGTTCGCAAGGGATGACAATTCCAAATATCTGTAAAATGCTGCAAGTCTGCATGAATTCTGGGGATGAAAACATATCCTACACAGAAAAGGTCAACATCACTGGACAGATCAATGAATCTCTCCTCTTCTAAGGTGTGGAGCACATTGTAGTAACTTGATGTTACAGAGGTCCAAACATCTCTCCACAACCGTTCCACTCTAAAACAGACAGAAAATGTATAAAGTATGAAAAAATGGTTAATTGCAAAGCATCTTTCAAGTTTATTTTGTTTACTTAACTACCTCTGATTGTGCACACTTTTGCCAGCAATAAAACTGCCACGGCCAGTTCCTCTCACAGTAAACATGCACCGAGCAATGTCTACATTCTCAACCCCTTGGTCTGCTCGGACTCTTTTAACAGAAAAGTCAGAAAGAGTTTTTTATTCATTCAAATATATGACTTTGCTTTTTTATATTAAATATATATTATAAAATTTTTTACAAATTGTAAAACTTTAGATTTCTAAAGCAACAAAACAATGACTTAACTAATCTCTTAAACTAATGTTTTGTAGATAATAATAAATTAAATAAATATGCTTAAACAATAGGCCCTCCAAATCTTTTTATTTTTATTTTTGTTATCTCTTCTCACCATCTCTCTCTACCAGCCAACAGACAGTGGTTCTTTTAAAATTTTTGAAAATGTTTAAATGTTCAAACTAGTACTATGAAATCACACCATTTGTCAAAAAATTGTGGCCATTATTTAGTGCAATGTGCATACCTTGATGGCCATCCATTTTTGTTCACTCCATTCATGAAAAATCCAAAAGCTGTACTGGCTTTGTTATTCCCAGCAACATCCAAGTAGAAGACCTGTTCAAGAAAGAGACATGCAAAGTCTAATTTTGTGCAAGAAATGCAAAACAAATTGGTATACAGATAAAATGATTAAAGATTACCTTCCGCGAAAAGCCATCAACAGCCCCAAAAACCACTATATTGTACCTATTAAAACAAGTGTATAATGAGGAATTAAAATGAGATTACAAAGACAACTTTTCCTACACAATAAAAACCGACAAAAGTTTGATAGCTATAATTAATTGTACTAAAATTTTTAAGATGGAAATAAATTTATATATATATACAGTATTTATACTCCAGTTCTGTCTGGTTCTTGAATCTGATTGGCTGATAGCCGTGCAATATTATGCAATATCAGAACTTGTACCGCTTCCTCAACCTTTAACCTTTTGTATCAATTCACCCACATAGACTGACAGCAGCTCAATAAACTCACTACAGTTTGACAAATATTGCAGCTGTTAGGCACGATGTAGATTTGAGGCTTTTTTAGTCAAAAATATAGTTTTTTATAGATTGCAACTATGCACTTTATTCAAGGATAGTGCCTATTTTAAATATTTATAATTTTAGAGATACAGCACCATCCACAAAATGGCTACAGAGACTGCATAATAAGCCCTGAAAGGAGAGGAAAAATTTTAAACTACAGCTGATCAAATCATTATTAAACTGGTGAGTGACTTTCTGAGTCGATCTCTCTCTGTTTTGTATGTTGTAGTGCTGTATTTATTCTATAGTAATTTTAGTGTTTTGAGTGTGAGATGGGACTTGCATATCAGGAACATGTATTTTGTGTTGACCATGCTTTGTATAACCCTGAGTTACTTTTTTGGTTGGCCATCTGTTTGTTTCTAATTAATCTCTTGTTTTTGTTACTGCAGACTTGTTCAGTAAACAGAGAGAATGAAGAAATGCCCACATGTTTTTAGTGTTTTTCCTTATAGCAATCACAACAGTAATCTGGTAGTGATTGCGCTGCCTTTATCTGAGTTAATTATTGTGATCTACCAACTGCAACAGAGAAATACTGGGAAAATAACACTCGAAGCAGTGTGATGTGGTTGTATATCATCACTGGTGGGACACTAAAGCACTCGGCCTGTGGCCTTGTGCCAACGGACGCCTCCCACCAGTGCTGGTATACAGCCACATCGCACTGTTACAAGTGTAATATTGTGGCATGAACAGCATGAAATGAGAAAGAAAAATGATAAACACATATGGGCATTTCTTTTTTCTCTCTGTTTACTGAACCAGTCTGCAGTATAGAAAACAGGAGATTGATTAGAAACAAACAGTTGACCAACCAAAAAACTCAGGGTTATACAAAGAGTGGTCAACACAAAATACACACATTCCTGATATGCGAGTCCCATGTCATACTAAATACACTACATTTACTAAAGTATAAATACAGTACTACAACATACAAAATAGAGATCGACTCAGAAAGTCACTTACCAGTTTAATAATGATTTGATCAGCTGTAGTATGAAATTTACACTGGGTTTCCTCTCCTCTAAGGGCTTATTATGAGGTCTCTGTCGCCATCTTGTGGATGGACAACATCAACCCTCTTTGCTCTGCTTAATGACAGGCTGATGGCCACTGACAGTGTCTCTCAGAAATTATAAATATTTGAAATAGGCACTATCCTTAAATAAACTGCATATTTGCAATATAAACAAATACATTCTAGCCTAAAAAAGCCTCAAAAGTACATCATGTTGCCCAACAGCATCAGTATTTGTCAAACTGTAGAGCGTCCTCTGCTTGTCGCTGTATGTGGGCAGAGTATTACACAAGGGTGAAGAGGTGGAACTAGTGCTGTTATTTGCAGAATATTGCATAGATATATCAGCCAATCAGATTTAAGAACCAGACAGAACTGTTGTGTATGTGTGTGTGTGTGTATATATATATATATATATATATATATATATATATATATATATATATATATATATATATATATATATATACATATATCTGTGTGTGTATATATATATATATATATATATATATATATATATATATATATATATATATATATATAT